ATAAGCCTATGGACGTACAAACATATAGGCGTGCGATTATGGATGAATGGGTGTATGAATGGGGGTTTGAATGCGCGAGAGTGAGTGTGTATAATCGTACTAGTTCAACGTACACATAAAATACTACATTCTTAGCATAACATAGTTCTCCTGAACTAGCACAAACACGTAATGTTAAGTTAGAGGATAAAAAAAAAAAAAACTAGCATAAAATAACATAAGTATATACTCCTACTCCCCTTTCCCTTCCTCCTCCCTTCCCTTCCCCCTCCCATTTTTGCGGCTGTAAAGAAACCAAAAAAATGTATAGTTTTTTTAAGTGCCTTTCTATACACATAAGACTGCCTTCTAGATTAAGTTAGCTTTAAGGAAAAGTATTATATTAAGCGATAAGCGCGATAGATTAAGTTAGTGTTAAGATCGCGAGAGCTCGACCTGCGACCAAAGTTGTACCTTAGTCATACTTATCCTTTTGTACGTTTCTGGTTTGTTGTACCTGTTGTATATATTGTTTTATTTATCGGCACAATAAACGTATGTTACAAAAAAAGAAGTGGTCAGTATCCCCGCCAAACAAGAGTATACCCCCCCTCCTCTCTCCTCTCCCTCTTCCACACCATTCCCCCCGCGTTTTGCGACCGTTAAATGTCCACCTTGAATATTGCCGTTATTTGTAATAATATGAAAAAATGTTATATATATATATAAAACTTGCACGGTATAGATGGGGGCATATTGTGATACAAACATTTTTTGCGTGGGTGGAGATGTAGAGGAGATTTCAAGGTCATCTCTATTTTTTTTAAATAGAATGCTATGTTGTTTTTATCGCGACGTGATAGCCGGTGTTGAGTCGTCATGCAAAGTCAAATGTGGGGTAGTAAAATAAACTTTCTTACATTACAGGAGATGTTCGACTGTTTGCGTCAATGCAAAGTTGCAATCTTCGTATCGCTGCATCACGTGCATGTCTCATCGTCTCTGAACTTATTCCAGGACATACTGTATTTCATATATCTTCACTTTTATGTAAATGAATGGTCTTATAACACTGTTTATGTTGTGGCAATACATCACGTGTAGCTAGAAATGTAAACATCCCGGCAGTTCGTAATATTAATATGAAATATCGGTAGTCGGTCTCAGTTGATTGCTAAATCATGTAGTAGTGTGATCATCAAAATGAAGTTTTCTTTTGAAGAGCAAGTGGATATGAACCTCATTTATAGAGAAATGCGACAAAATTCGATAAGAGCTCAAGCTTTGTATGCTGAACGATAGCCAAATCGTACACATCCTTCGCACAGAACATTTCAAAGATTTGTAGTAGCAAAAACCACACATAAGAACAGACGACGACGAGAGAAACATAACCGTGTCCTTCTTCTTTCGCCAAGTCTACTGTTTACCAAATGGTCATCGCTCGCGTGTCAACCACCTCAGGCTAATGAACTCACTAGTCTAATGCCACAAACACCAAGGCTCCTTGTCTCTCTCCTCGCCGTCGTCGACCGGCTATATAACAATAGGCAGCCGGCGTCGAGCACCAGACAGAGAGAAAAAGAGTCCTAGCACGAGCGAGAACACTTCCAACTCATTTATTGTATCTTAATTATTAACGAATAAAATTGTTGAAGCTGTATCCAACAACAATTATTACCACAGATTGTACAAAATATTGAAAGAAATCGGAAATTTAGGTACACGTAAGAGCAGTTGTGGTAAAAGAGCAACTGATGAAAGAAATGAAGTTGGTGTTTTTGCAATTGCAGCTCATAACCCGCAGAGCAGTTCACGACAGACTAAACGTGAGTCGGCTATCAGTAGGAGTGTCCTACGAATGCGTGCACGGCATAAATTTCATCCATACCATATTACTCTCCATCAAAACTTACACGGTACGGAATTTATGAATCGTGTCGCATTTTGTCAGCGGGCTCTACATAAAATACAAATGAATGAAACTATAGTTTCTTCAATACTGTTCACCGATGAAGCTACGTTTACTAACCATGGAAATCTCAATTTGCATAATATGCATTACTAGAGTATCGATAATCTACGCTGGTTATGACAAGTTGAGCATCAACGATAATGATCAGTTAACGTGTGGTGTGGAATAGTCGGAATAATCGGACCGCATTTTATCGATGGAAATCTTACTGGCTGTTTCGACTGGTCCGGGTTCGTTGGATCACTGTCGTCGTATCTTGGATGCACGTCGCGTTCCGATAGAATGACTCGACGTACACTTGCGATACTATTGCCCGCCAAATTAATCTTGGATAATTTATTATATATCTGTTCTACTCGAACGTAGTAGAACGTTTGGTCAAGCGCAAATGACGAAGTCTCGATTTCGATTGACTCTAATGATAGGCTCTGATGTTTCTCCTCGAACGCTGGAGATGTGTGTATGTATGTACCCGAAAGCTCGTGTCGATCTCCAGATTTTTCGTGGTCTGCAGTGACTCCCCCGTGGGGACGTGGAATCTTCGCTGTCCTTCGATGACGCGTCGGAAATTCCCGCCAGGTCAACCCTCTGCCGTTATACGCACATGTAGATTGACCCTTCAGGAACACCTGGTTTATGTCACGTCTTCGGCTATTGAGAACGCAGAAAAGTAGGAATTCTAAAGCCATTGTTTTGTAAGAAGTTACTTACATTTTCACGGAGCTAAAAAGGCTCTTTGTTCTCAAAAATAACCTTCTGGTGCAAGCGTGCCATAAATCCGGTCAACGAAGACCCCACGCGTTCCGTACCTGCGCGGCAGAACGTGCTCCCCCCGTTGAGAGGTACTACTGATCAAAATACATCGAACGAAAACCACTCCAACGCTTGTGGTCCATTGATCGGAATTATTGTCTTTATATCACTGGTCACCAACGCCTACGTTGAACCTTGGTCGGGAACGGGTGCCAGCTGTTTCACGTTGCGTTTATAAATACCCTTGCTGGTCCACACGGTGACTGCTCGGATGATCTCGTCTGCGCCCGGATGAATCTCCTCGACTCGCCCCAGATGCCAGAACAGTGGTGGGAGATTGTTCTCCTTGAGGACGACCACTGTTCCCTCCTTGATATCGTGTGAGCCCTTGGTCCATTTCTGCCGCACGTTCAGATGGTTGATGTACTCCTTGTACCATCTCGACCAGAAATCTCGTTTCACCTTCTGTATGTGCTGCCAATTTGATAAGCGATTGGCTGGTGTTTTCCTGAAATCAGTCTCGGGTACGCTCGTTAAGGAACCACCAATCAAAAAGTGACCCGGAGTCAGTGCGGTAGGATCGTTGGGATCTGAGGAGAGGGGGGATAGCGGACGGGAATTTAGGATTGCTTCGACTTCAATGACGAAGGTGTTGAATTGCTCGAACGTAAACAATTCTTCACCCACAACACGTTTCACATGGTGTTTGAAAGATTTCACGGCAGCCTCCCAAAGTCCTCCGAAATGAGGTGACAAGGCAGGCATGAAGTGCCACGTGACTTCCTTGTCCGTGAGGAATCTTCGGACCTTGTCGTCCTCCTGGAGCGCCTGGTATACCTCCGTCAACTCGTTATTCGCGGCAACGAAATTTGTGCCGTTGTCGGAATAAATGTTGTGGCAGAGTCCTCTTCGAGCCATGAAGCGTTTTAAGGCCGCGATGAAGGCCTCGGTGGTCATGTCGCTCACAACCTCTAGGTGTATCGCTTTCGTAGCGAGGCAAATAAATACGGCGACGTAGACCTTAACGCGCGCACGATTACGATTGCGCCGTTCCTTTACGTAGAATGGGCCGCAATAGTCGACTCCACTGTTGTGGAATGGTCGACTATCGGTGACGCGAGCTGCCGGTAAATTACCCATCACGTAGTCTACCGTAGGTGGATCCACTCGGAAGCATCTGACGCACTGTCGCACGATTTTGCGCGTTGCATTTTTCCCATCGATAGGCCAGTACGTTTGCCTAACGTCATTGAGGGTAGATGTTATGCCTGCGTGTTGATTATTCATGTGTGAGTCGCGAATAATCAACGTGGTCAGATGGTGGTTTCTTGGTAAAAGTACCGGATGCTTTTGAGCGTACGGCAGTGAGGAGTTTTGAAGGCGTCCTCCGACGCGTAGAATTCCCTTGCTGTCGAGAAACGGGTTGAGCGGACGAAGCTTGCTCTTTGAAGATAATGTGGTTCCCGATGTCAGATTGTGGATCTCCTGTTTAAATTCGATTGCCTGCACGATTTTAACGATGCGTACGGTGGCCTCCTGGATCTCTTGCACGGTGAGAGGTCCATTGGTGCGATGGTTTGGTCGGAAGCGCAAACAATAAGCTACGACTCGTTTTAGCTTTGTGGCCGAAGAGTACCGCGTTATGATGTCGTCCGTGTGTACTGTGGTGGTGGCGAGACATGTGATTTTCTTTCGCTCTGGCACGTCGGTTGTGATCGCGAACTTAGATGTTGGCCACTCCGATTCGACGGTTGAGAGCCACCTAGGTCCGCGTCGCCAGAGGTCGGTTTCGAGGAATTGTATGGGCGTCAGTCCTCGCGATAATAAGTCGGCCGGATTGTCATGTGATGTCACGTGTCGCCATGTCGTTACGTCCGTCTTCGTCTGTATGTCGGATACGCGGTTTGCTACGAAAGTTTTCAGTGTGTTCGGTGGTGTGTGGATCCAATTTAAAACTATGGTAGAATCGGTCCAGAATGTCGTATTGCGGATGTCGTGTGTGATGGCTCCTCGGACGGTGGCATATAACGATGCTAGGAGCACCGCACCGCATAATTCCAAACGTGCGAGGCTGATGGTTTTGAGTGGTGCGACGCGCGATTTCGCACAAAGAAGCTGCATCCTGATGTGGCCTGCTCTGTTTATCGTTCGTATGTATAAACACGCACCATACGCTCGCTCGCTCGCATCGCAGAAACCATGTATATCGATGTGATGGACCGCTCGTTGGGTTACGTTGCGTGGAAACTCGATGTGGTTCAGCAGTTGCAGTTGGTTGACGAAGGTGGTCCATTCTGTGTAGAGATTGGCTGGGAGCGATTCATCCCAGTCGATCTTCAGTTGCCATAGCCGTTGCATTATCATCTTTGCAGTGATAGTTACTGGGCCGAGGAGTCCCAACGGGTCAAAGATTTTGGCAATTGCTGACAGGATCGTTCGTTTCGTAATCTTCTGGCTGCTTGGCGGCTCGACCGTGTAGAGAACCCTGTCCTTCAGCGCGTCCCATGATATACCGAGCGTCTTCATGGTGGTCGGGTCGCCTAGGATCTTCGGGTGGATCTGCTCGTGGTCCAGTCCTGCGAGAAGCTGTGGTTCGTTCGAGGCCCATTGACGGATGTTCAATCCTCCTCGTTCGAACAGGTTGTGGATTTCGCTTCGCAGTTTTCTCGCCTCCTTGATCGTGTCAGCTCCGGTGAGCAAATCGTCGACGTAGAGATCCCGTTTCACAATCGTCGAAGCGTTCGGGAATTGTTCTCTTTCGTCGTCCGCGAGCTGATATACGCATCTTATGGCGAGATATGGAGCTGCTGTCAAACCAAACGTGACGGTGTTCAGCTCGTATGTAGACACGTTGTTTTTCTCGTCTCTCCATAAGATGCGCTGGAAGGCTCGATCCTCCGGTCGCACGAGGAATTGCCGATACATTTTCTCTATGTCGCCGGTCAAGACATAGACGTGCATCCTAAATCGCAGGAGCAGTGAAAGTAGGTCGCTCTGTATCGTGGGCCCGGTTAACAACGCGTCATTAAGCGATAATCCGCTGCTCGATTTAGCGGAGCCGTCGAAAACCACGCGGACCTTTGTCGTCGCGCTCGTGTTTTTAAAGACCGCGTGGTGAGGCAGGTAGAAACCCGGTGCGTCGATTTCTTTTACCTGTCTCATGTGCCCTAGCTCGAGGTATTCCTTAATGACCGCGGTGTACTCGTTGCGCAACGCGGCATTGTTATTTAGTTTCCGTTCCAATGAGAAGAAGCGCGTCAGGGCGCGAGATCGTGATTCCCCGAGGTGATTTTTCTTCTCATTGAACGGCAGTGCAACGGTGTAGCGTCCGATGTCGTTGCGTTGCACGTGCTTCCCGAAATGTTCTTCGCATTCGCGCTCTTCAGTAGTAAGATTACTGTTAAGATTACGAGTGCTCTATCCTAGAGCCATTGATCTCATTACACTTAAGCCAAATTCATCCTTTGTACGTTTTTGGTTTGTTGTACCTGTTGTATATATTGTTTTATTTATCGGCACAATAAACGTATGTTACAAAAAAAGAAGTGGTCAGTATCCCCGCCAAACAAGAGTATACCCCCCCTCCTCTCTCCTCTCCCTCTTCCACACCATTCCCCCCGCGTTTTGCGACCGTTAAATGTCCACCTTGAATATTGCCGTTATTTGTAATAATATGAAAAAATGTTATATATATATATAAAACTTGCACGGTATAGATGGGGGCATATTGTGATACAAACATTTTTTGCGTGGGTGGAGATGTAGAGGAGATTTCAAGGTCATCTCTATTTTTTTTAAATAGAATGCTATGTTGTTTTTATCGCGACGTGATAGCCGGTGTTGAGTCGTCATGCAAAGTCAAATGTGGGGTAGTAAAATAAACTTTCTTACATTACAGGAGATGTTCGACTGTTTGCGTCAATGCAAAGTTGCAATCTTCGTATCGCTGCATCACGTGCATGTCTCATCGTCTCTGAACTTATTCCAGGACATACTGTATTTCATATATCTTCACTTTTATGTAAATGAATGGTCTTATAACACTGTTTATGTTGTGGCAATACATCACGTGTAGCTAGAAATGTAAACATCCCGGCAGTTCGTAATATTAATATGAAATATCGGTAGTCGGTCTCAGTTGATTGCTAAATCATGTAGTAGTGTGATCATCAAAATGAAGTTTTCTTTTGAAGAGCAAGTGGATATGAACCTCATTTATAGAGAAATGCGACAAAATTCGATAAGAGCTCAAGCTTTGTATGCTGAACGATAGCCAAATCGTACACATCCTTCGCACAGAACATTTCAAAGATTTGTAGTAGCAAAAACCACACATAAGAACAGACGACGACGAGAGAAACATAACCGTGTCCTTCTTCTTTCGCCAAGTCTACTGTTTACCAAATGGTCATCGCTCGCGTGTCAACCACCTCAGGCTAATGAACTCACTAGTCTAATGCCACAAACACCAAGGCTCCTTGTCTCTCTCCTCGCCGTCGTCGACCGGCTATATAACAATAGGCAGCCGGCGTCGAGCACCAGACAGAGAGAAAAAGAGTCCTAGCACGAGCGAGAACACTTCCAACTCATTTATTGTATCTTAATTATTAACGAATAAAATTGTTGAAGCTGTATCCAACAACAATTATTACCACAGATTGTACAAAATATTGAAAGAAATCGGAAATTTAGGTACACGTAAGAGCAGTTGTGGTAAAAGAGCAACTGATGAAAGAAATGAAGTTAGTGTTTTTGCAATTGCAGCTCATAACTCGCAGAGTAGTTCACGACAGACTAAACGTGAGTCGGCTATCAGTAGGAGTGTCCTACGAATGCGTGCACGGCATAAATTTCATCCATACCATATTACTCTCCATCAAAACTTACACGGTACGGAATTTATGAATCGTGTCGCATTTTGTCAGCGGGCTCTACATAAAATACAAATGAATGAAACTATAGTTTCTTCAATACTGTTCACCGATGAAGCTACGTTTACTAACCATGGAAATCTCAATTTGCATAATATGCATTACTAGAGTATCGATAATCTACGCTGGTTATGACAAGTTGAGCATCAACGATAATGATCAGTTAACGTGTGGTGTGGAATAGTCGGAATAATCGGACCGCATTTTATCGATGGAAATCTTACTGGCTGTTTCGACTGGTCCGGGTTCGTTGGATCACTGTCGTCGTATCTTGGATGCACGTCGCGTTCCGATAGAATGACTCGACGTACACTCGCGATACTATTACCCGCCAAATTAATCTTGGATAATTGATTATATATCTGTTCTACTCGAACGTAGTAGAACGTTTGGTCAAGCGCAAATGACGAAGTCTCGATTTCGATTGACTCTAATGATAGGCTCTGATGTTTCTCCTCGAACGCTGGAGATGTGTGTATGTATGTACCCGAAAGCTCGTGTCGATCTCCAGATTTTTCGTGGTCTGCAGTGACTCCCCCGTGGGGACGTGGAATCTTCGCTGTCCTTCGATGACGCGTCGGAAATTCCCGCCAGGTCAACCCTCTGCCGTTATACGCACATGTAGATTGACCCTTCAGGAACACCTGGTTTATGTCACGTCTTCGGCTATTGAGAACGCAGAAAAGTAGGAATTCTAAAGCCATTGTTTTGTAAGAAGTTACTTACATTTTCACGGAGCTAAAAAGGCTCTTTGTTCTCAAAAATAACCTTCTGGTGCAAGCGTGCCATAAATCCGGTCAACGAAGACCCCACGCGTTCCGTACCTGCGCGGCAGAACGTGCTCCCCCCGTTGAGAGGTACTACTGATCAAAATACATCGAACGAAAACCACTCCAACGCTTGTGGTCCATTGATCGGAATTATTGTCTTTATATCACTGGTCACCAACGCCTACGTTGAACCTTGGTCGGGAACGGGTGCCAGCTGTTTCACGTTGCGTTTATAAATACCCTTGCTGGTCCACACGGTGACTGCTCGGATGATCTCGTCTGCGCCCGGATGAATCTCCTCGACTCGCCCCAGATGCCAGAACAGTGGTGGGAGATTGTTCTCCTTGAGGACGACCACTGTTCCCTCCTTGATATCGTGTGAGCCCTTGGTCCATTTCTGCCGCACGTTCAGATGGTTGATGTACTCCTTGCACTATCTCGACCAAAAATCTCGCTTCACCTTCTGTATCTCCTGCCAATTTGATAATCGATTGGCTGGTGTTTTGCTGAAATTAGTCTCGGGTACGCTCGTCAAAGAACCACAAATCAAAAAGTGACCCGGAGTCAATGCGGAAGGATCGTTAGGATCTGAGGAGAGGTGAGTTAACGGACGGAAATTGAGGATTGCCTCGACTTCAATAACAAACGTGTTGAGTTCTTCACCGACAACGCGTTTCACGTGGTGTTTGAACGACTTTACGGCAGCCTCCCCAAGTCCTCCGAAATGAGGTGACAAGGCAGGCATGAAGTGCCACGTGATTTCCTTGTCTGTAAGGAATCTTCGTACCTTGTCGTCCTGCTAGAGTGTCTGGTGTACCTCCGTCAGGTCGTTGTTCGCGCCAACGAAATTCGTGCCGTTGTTGGAGTAGATGTTGCGGCATAGTCCTCGTCGAGCCATAAAGCGTTTTAAAGCCGCGATGAAGGCCTCTATGGTCATGTCGTTTACAACCTCGAGATGAACCACTTTCGTAGCGAGGCAGATGAATACGGCGACATAGATCTTGACGCGTGCGCGATTTCAGTTGCGTCGTTCTTTTACGTGGAATCGGTCTAGAATACTGCATTGCGGATGTGTGTGATGGCTCCTCGGACGGTGGCATATAACGATGCCAGGAACACAGCACCGCATAATTCTAACCGTGCGAGGCTGATAGTTTTAAGCGGTGCGACGCGCGATTTCGCATAGAGAAGCTGCGTTTTGATGTGGCCTGCTTTATTTCTTGTTCGGATGTACAAACACGCTCCATATGCTCGCTTGCTTGCACCGCAGAAGCCGTGTATGTCAATGTGGCAGACCGCTCGTTGTGTTACATTTCGTCTGAACTCGATGTTGTTCAATATTGTAGTTGCTTGACGAAGGTGCTCTATTCGGTGTGGAGAGTGGCTGGGAGCTATTCATCCCAGTCAATCATGTTGCATGATCATTTTCGCCGTGATGGTTACTTGTCCGAGTAGTCCCAACGGGTCGAAGATTTTGGTAATTGCTGACAAGATTGTTCGTTTGGTGATCGTCTGGCTGCTTGGCGGCTCAACCGTATATAAAATCCTGTCCTTTCGCGCGTCCCATAATATGCTGAGCGTCTTCATAGTTGTCGGGTCGCCTAGGATGTTCGGGTGGATCTGCTCGTGGTCCAGTCCTCCTCGTTCGAACAGGCTGAGAATTTCTATACGTAATTTTCTCGCCTCCTTGATGGTGTTAGCTCCAGTTAGTAGATCGTCGACGTATAGATCCCGCTTCACGGTCGTTGAAACGTCCGGGAATTGGTCTTTCTCGTCGTCCGCGAACTGGAGTACGCATCGTATGGCGAGATATGGAGCCACGGTTAAACAGAACGTGACGGTGTTCAGTTCGTACGTAGCCACGTTGTTTTTCTCGTCTCTCCATAAGATGCGCTGGAAAGCCCGATCTTCCGGTCGCACGAGGAATTGTCGGTACATTTTCTCTATATCTCCGATCATGACGTACACGTGCATCCTGAATCGCAGAAATAACGAAAATAGGTCGCTCTGTATTGTGGGCCCGGCTAACAACGTGTCATTAAGAGATAATCCGCTGCTCGATTTAACGGAGCCGTCGAAAACGTCTTGTCCCCAACTAAAACCGATATATTGCGCGTGCAGTCGTTCTGTCTTTTCCTTAATTTTAAAAAACTCTTGAAGAGAGTCTTGATATTTCTCCACGTAATTCCCGAACATCGTGATTTGCGCTTTGAAGGATCGCCGTTTATCCTTCAATTCTTTAATACGTTGTTCCGTTGCCATTTTGTCGGAAGTGGGAAAATTGTATATGATACGGGTAGGAAGTGATTTCGCGTGGTCACCAAATGACTGATATGATCTCGTAACGGGCCTAACTTGACTGATGACCTGGTCGCTGGAGTTGCCGTTGGCTGGAACGGTTGCCGTGAACGCGTTCCTGGTCTGCTTCATGTGTCCTCGTGTGTTCCGCTCTGTGATGGCGATTCCGGATTCCACGGAGGCGTCAGCGTTGCTCGTCTGTAGGTCGTGGATGGTCCGCTTCATGTGTCCTCGTGTGTTTCGCTCTGTGATGGCGATTCCGGATTCCACGGAGGCGTCAGCGTTGCTCGTCTGTAGGTCGTGGATCCGGCTCGAAGGACCAAATGTTTCGACTGATCCGGGTTCGTTGAATCACTGTCGTCGTATCTTCGATACACGTCGCGTTCCGATAGAATGACTCGACGTACACTCGCGATAATATTACCCGACAAATTAATCTTGGATAATTGATTATATATCTGTTCTACTCGAACGTAGTAGAACGTTTGGTCGAGCGCGAATGATGAAGTCTCAATTTCGAATGACTCTAATGATAGGCTCTGATGTTTCTCCTCGAACGCTGGAGATGTATGTATGTACTCGAAAGCTCGTAAGTAACTCGTTCGAAGGCTCCAGTGAATCTGTTCGAAAGCTCGTGTCGATCTCCCGATTTTTCGTGGAGTTCGCAGTGTCTCCCCCGCCAAGTGCAAGAAGGCACGCTGATTGGTTTTTCACGAAAGTACAAATTACCAATCAACGTGCCCCTTGAGTGTCACCCACCCTTCCATTGCGCCCTTTTCCTTGGAAGGAGTGGGGCGATACCTGCGGGTACGTGGAATCTTCGCTGTCCTTCGATGACGCGTCGGAACTTCCCGCCAGGTCAACTCTCCGCCGTTATACGGACGTGTGGATTGACTCTTCAGGAACATCTGGTTTATGTCACGTCTTCGCTTGCGCCCTTTTCCTTGGAAGGAGTGGGGCGATACCTGCGGGTACGTGGAATCTTCGCTGTTCTTCGATGACACGTCGGAACTTCCCGCCAGGTCAACCCTCCGCCGTTATACGGACGTGTGGATTGACTCTTCAGGAACATCTGGTTTATGTCACGTCTTCGGCTATTGAGGACGCAGAAAAGTAGAAATTCTAAAGCCATTGTTTTGTAAGAAGTTACTTATATTTTCGCGGAGCTACGAAGCGTCTTTGTAAACCTATACAGGTAAACCCGGTCAACGAAGACCCCACGTGTTCCGTACCTGCGCGACGGAACACTGGCGAACGATATGAACACTTTATACGAAGTACATTGGTGACTTTATTAGAAAATGTACCACTATACGTTCACCAAATGATGTGTTACAGCACGACGGATGTCCAGCACATTATGCTCGGAGAGTAAGAGATGCACTTAACGAACTTTACCCAAATCGATGGATAGAACGTGGAGGATTAGTTTCTTGGCCAGCTCGCTCTCCAGACTTGACTCCATTAGATTTTTTCTCCGCGGAGCATTTAAAAATGTTGTTTATCAAGAAGTACCCACTACACCAGAAAATATGAACCAACGGATAATTGCAGCATGTACTAGAATAAGTTCAGAGACGATGAGACATGCACTCTCAACACCGGCTATCACGTCGCGATAAAAACAACATAGCATTCTAATTAAAAAAATAGAGATGACCTTGAAATCTCCTCTATACCTTGTTACGTACGCAGACTAGCCGACACGGCGGCGCCGAGACATCCACCTAGAGCTCACCCCCTTCAGATAAAGTAAACGAACGCGTTTCGTTCTCATGGGAAAATTAGGGCCCCCACCACCCAAAAAATACAAATTTTGGAGTATATAAGGGAAAGATTTTCGGGGCTCAGGGGCAGTCACAGTTCAGAGTTACCCTGAACGTTAAAGTAGCACAGAATCTGTATAGTCATCGTTCGACACGAACAAGATCGGGCTCAATTCCCTTTCGAGCAACCCAGTATAATACTAAATTCGTAAGTGTCAACTAGACATACTGGTCTAGGATGTCCCCGCGTACTCACCGTGTAAAGTCGAGAAGGAAGATTCATGCTCAGCCAAGAATCAACCATTGTATAATTCATATTTAAACCACTGTAAACTTATTGTAAACTCCTTGATTATTATTAGAATATAGTTACTATAGAATTGCTCAGCCTATATTCAATTAACCATCTCCTCGTAACATTAGTAACGAAATAGTTAAACTCACAAAGGATATATCTTTACCGCTCGAGGTATATCCGACATTACGATACGTACTATCCTCACAACCACCAAACCTTTTCCATCCTTCGGAGAACGGCGTAGTAACCACATGCGCCGAAGGTTGCAATCCTTTCGGATTTATTGTCAACAACGTATCACCCTCATACGATAAACGTTCTGACTGGTCCACCAACCCCTTGTCGTCAACGTATACGTTGAAACTCCAAACCTTACCATCCTTAGGAGAACGGCGTAGTAACCACATACGCCGAAGGTTCCAATCCTGTCGGATTTGTTGTCAACAACGTATCACCCTCATACGGTGAACGTTTTGACCGATCCACAAACCCAAACCAATATTACGCTCCGTGTGAGGACACAACAAGCGTAACTCGTAACAACCTCCACCCACGCAAAAAATGTTTGTATCACAATATGCCCCCTCTATACCGTGCAAGTTTTATATGTAACATTCTTTCATATTATTACAAATAACGGCAACATTCAAGGTGGACACAGTTATTGCCCCACCCTGCATTATGCGATTAGCGCGGTAAAATAATAAGGCTCGATACACGCTAGCGGTCCGCTCCCGTTCCGGTCAAATATTCTTCTATGGTTTAGAACGTACAGCAACTATCTTTGGAAAGAATATTTCGTTGGAACGAGTCCGGACCGGGCCGAGACTGAACGCATACTGTGAACGCGTTTCTCGATTTACCACCGGTTACTCCATTCCAATTCCGATTTTGATGAAACTGTAATATGTTGTAGTCTATCCTTTTTTCATTCGCATCACAAAAGATGGAACTTTCTAAGAATATTTTTAATTTTGTTGTACTCGCTCCTTTTCAATATGAAAATGGTAAATAAATTTTTACTTTGCAAAAACGACTATAAGAATGTACATAACACTTTATGATTTATTGTTCAGTCTAGGTTTAAGTATATTTTCATGCAAGTTTAATATGTAACTAAATATGCGTATCGTAGTTTAAGAATTACATATATACACATATAAACACACACTCCCAAACAACTTCAACATCATGGACCACATCAACTCTTTATCATTGAACGTAACCGTTCAAGAGGGGTGGCATGTTGAGCGTTTGTACCGACTTAGCCTGCGACCGCTCGACCGTTATAAAACCATTAAACAGCGTGGCACGCAGATTTCCAAGTTCTTGAGACCACCGGATACGCAACCCTTGGACATGAGGCAACCACTTGGAGGACAACGCCAAATTCCTCGGACATAGCCCACCCCCATCAACACTCCTCCGCTAGATTTCTAACTCCCCCACCACCAAAATTGCGACCAATAGCACAACACACACACACCCACTTACAGAAAATAGAAATTAACCAATCACAACACAAAAAATTCGATGTATAGACAAGATAGAACAGGAACGCCAGAACTCGTTCAGCTTTCGAAGCGCACACAATACATACACTTAGAACTCATACAGCCTTCGAATTGCATACATCACATAAAAAACTCAATCGTCTTTCGCACAAGTCAAATACTTAACACATTCGACTTTAGTGGAACTCTCCGGACATTAATTTATCGGGAGAGCGCGATGCGAAAATATATTGTAATATTTCGTGCCGCAACAATAACCGTCTTCTAATCAAATTGCATGACGCGCTACGAGTCACTCGCGCCACGACCCCCCGTAGCCTCAGGTAGTGGGCTTGCAGAAGGGCTTGACCCACCCTGATTGGTCTAGCTTTCCTAAACAGTATAAAGAAAGGCTTTTTTGCCATAGAAAATCAGTCCTTTCGGGAAATCCGAACAAGACTACTCAAGGTTACATCGAGCAGACGTCTCCTTCGCGGGTTATAGACGACACTCATTGTCTTTTCAAAAGTTAGTACGGAACAGAACGAAGACTCCAGGACCAGGTTTCCTGTTCTGTTTCTACCTTCGCCATCTATACCTATCCTCCTCCTGGAGGCAGCTTACATCGAGCAGACGTCAGAAAGTTAGTACGGAACAGAACGAAGACTCTAGGACCAGGTTTCCTGTTCTGTTTCTACCTTCGCCATCTATACCTATCCTCCTCCTGGAGGCAGACGCTCCTACGCGGGTCATAGCGACACTTCCAGGTTGAATCAAATTCTCCAAATACCCCCAAAGAGAAAACAGACGTCTCCTACGCGGGTCATAGACGACAATTTCTCTTCCCTTTCTACCATCTCACTCTTTCTCTCTTACCCCCTATTCTCCTTGGGAAATCTGGCCGAGTCAAGGTGTGAAACCGTTGACAGTAGCCGCATCCGCGACCTCTCGCCGAAAACCGACAGAGTGGCGCCTTATCTTGCACATTTTCTGCGATTTGTACCGCGAATCCACTAATTAAATAAAAGTGATTACCATCAACCACTCCACAACACAATATTATAATAGTAAACTCTTTTCTGCATTATTTCTCCAAGTTCCCGTGAACTACCTGGGTCCTGTATCCCGAGTAAATTCCTCGAGTGGTTTGACTCAAAAAGAGGGACAACGATCGGTTTCGTGACGATCATACCGCGATCTGTAACATGGTCAATTGGTTGAGGTGGAAGTTGAATATGTAAAAAAAACTATTGGTGGCCAAAGGTGCGTTAGTAACATCCAGGGTTGCGAGAACTGAAAGAAGGGGCAAAAGCCTAGGTTGTTCCAAAAATGAGATGTCATTTCGTGTATACGACGCAACAATTTTTGAATTTGAAACAGCCAAGAAAGTTTGTATGGCTTTCGAAAATAATTGTGTCAGTGAACGTATAACGCAAAATACATCACCCTATATGCGAAACTTTTTTTCAGTCAGATACTAGGACAAATACAAGATACGAAAATCTAACGCAAGTGGTTTGATATAACTGTTAGACATGTTCGCAATTCACAATTAATAAGTCCCTATTGCATCGTTATTATGTAATAATTATATAAAGTGTTACTTGTCATTCGGATCAGCTCTAATAACATGTTGAAAAGCCTTGATAGCCTGCATGCCATCTCCTTGGTCCAGATATTGCAAACCGAGTTGTAACCATGCCCACTTAGGACCACTGTCTTGTATAGTTAATGATTGCAATAATTCTATATTCGCATCCTGCAAATAACATTGTACACAACAATATTTCATTGAAAAGCTAGTCAAATATTAATATTGCATCCATTTACGTGTTTATGAATCTTATGACAGAAGAGAAACAGATCAGTACTTACTTGATTTTTTAGAAGTCTATATGCAGTACTCAAGCCAACACCAGCTTCTTCAGAGTTTGGATTAATTTGTAGTGCAGTTTGATAACACCTTCTGGAACGTTCTACATCATTACCATATTCGCGATAATAATGTCCCAAATAAACTAGACACTTCCAATTATGACGATCGATTTTTACTCCATTCAGAAAAGCCATTAAACTATAATTATATTCAGTCATTTCCCAATAAATTATACCAAGAAGTAACCATGCTTCAGATGTTTCTAAAGATGCATCAAGAGCATTTAAAGCTTCGTTAAATTGTTTATTTTGTTTTAAGTATAACGCTCTCAGAATGTTAGCTTGAATTTTGGTTTCTGGTTTTAATTCCAAATTGTCTAGCGTAATGTATATATTTGGTTTATCTAACAATACGCTAAGGCGCGCATGTAGTACCTCTAGTTGCGTGGAAGGCTGCATCTCCAAGTGCTAATTACAAATAAAACAATTATATAAATATGAGCCATTCTATGTTAAAACGCAGGAAAATTGCGACTGTAGTCAATGATTTGTTCAAACTCACATCGTTTGTTGATTGTCTGGAGAAACTACACTGTGCAAAATTTTAACTTTGTATTTCGAATGGTTTCCGTGTTGCATATTTCACCGATATAAAATTGCCCCTCATTACTTAATTCTTTCTTTACAAAACATAAGTTTTAGGAATATGAAGCTATGTGTGTTACATTGTAAAAACAATGGAACTTACAGGTTGCGTTCCGCGGTAAATACCTACAGTGCATTTCCACTTTATTTTTTTTTTTATGTATTTGAATTATATTACATATGTATATTATAAGTTTTAGGAATGTGAAGCTATGTGTGTTACAATGTAAAAACAATGGAACTTACAGGTTGCGTTCCGCGGTAAATACCTACAGTGCATTTCCACTTTATTTTTTTTTTATGTATTTGAATTATATTACATATGTATATTTCGGTTTAATAATAAAAACACAAATCATAGGAGCGTATCAAACTAAATATTTATCTTAGATTTGTACAAGGTGTGAACGTGTGCATAAAATGCTTTTTCTTCAGTGTTCTTAAAATCACTTCATCTTTTTGAAAAGTATATTTTATAGCGAAAAGTTCATGGAATCATGCGCTATTTTCTTCGTGTTATCGCGTTGTATACTGGCGTGCTAGTCTCCTGTTCTATCTTATTACGTGTTGTTGAAGTTGTTGAATGAATCAAAACTATGTGTGGTTGATGTGTACCTATTGGCGATTGAAACCGGAATTGATCTTACCGAAAACGGCATTTTCTGAGCAGGATGATGGTTGGTGATACGTACATACATTTTTGGAATGATTATTATTCGCCAATCAGTTGACGTGGAGATGGAATGAGGAAAACTATTTGTCGCTGGGGCGTGTGCTAGCATTACCCAAAGGACGAATAAATTTGAATGAATCGACGAGAAGGAGTAAAGACTTGAGTTTTTCTCAAAAAAGGTATATGAATATGCCTCGTTGTCGAGATGATGGTTCTGTACAAGGGGTGATTGGTTTATGATATGCCTATGCGAGTTTCGGAACGACCAAATGTGCCTAATGAATTTTACAGCGATAATCCGCCAGACCGAGATTTTCTCACGCTTAATGATTGTGACTCAACAGATACATTCATTATTAGTAAATGAAACTTTGTATGTATACTTGGAAAGAGCATTTGTTCAGCTTCAAAATGAGTGCAAGAACAAAACATTACCTTTAAATATAGGTACTTGAAATATTGATACAAACACGGTGACATGTGACTCACTTCGTTTCATTTTTTAACATTTAAACATTAAATAAACGGGAGACCATTTAAGATAGGAAGCTAAAGTTTTATACAGTGTAACTTCCCGAGACTATCAATAAATAATGTGATTTCGAAAAAATCATTAACTACTACCGCAATTTTCTGGTGCTTTGATGTGGAATTTCTCATGTTCGAATGAAAAATCAGTAGATAAGTAAAACAAAAATTAATTTATCGTATATTATTCGTCTAGAGTAATTCCAAAGCTTTTATTCTATTACAATGCATCAAAATCTCACAGATCATTCACGTCCCTTTATTATAATCCAGAGACATTAACTAACAATCTTATTGAATTTGGGGCAAGACGGGGTAGGGAGGTAAGACAGGACAACGTCATCTAGAATAAATAATAGAATATTACAGCATGCACATGCACCCTGATGAAAGACGTTCGTCCAAAAAGAATAGTATTGAATTCTGCGGGTGTTACCAATTATGAAGAGATTTTTAAATTTTCCAATGACGATCGAATTCTACAGAAAGTTTGCAGTAGTGTCAACTTGTTTGTGTGTGTGTGTTTTTTGACCAAAAGCGGTAAGTTAATTCACCTTATTGATTACTTTCTCATAAATTAACAGTTTTTATTAAGAATTCTTTCAGGTTATTTTACAGAAAACATGTAAGATATGATCTACCTACTGCAGCAAGACCGGATAAACGAGTGTAGCAAAGTTTACTTTAGAGTTTATTACTTATGCTTACTTCAGGAAACACATTAAACACCGCTCAGTTATTATTTTAAGATACACTAGTAGCGACCCTCCAACGCTCTGCCACCAGAGGGGCGGACTAACCGCAAGTTCTCGCTAGTCCTCATAAAGGCTCCTACTTGTGTGTATATAACTTCTGACCTGAGTCCTTCCAGTCCCTCCCCAAAACAGCAGGAACAGTGTCAAAGCCACCAACGATCAAACTAGCGTACAAATTCAACCGAAAATCCCAATGCACATAATAAAAGCAATAAAAGAGAAACGCAAAGCGGACAAAGAATGGAAGAAACATTGAACACCGATACTAAAAAGGCTACTCAACAAACACAATAGACAAATCCAGAATACTAATTAAAAAATGGAGTAGAATGAATGAAAGAAGTGAATAAACGAATGCTTGGAAAAATGAAAATCCAAATCATGTAAAAAGTCTACGAACAGTGTTGGCTCCCACAATATAGCAAATAACTCTTTATTTGCAACACAGTTTGTTATGTAACAGTAATGCAATGTAACTGAGTTCATAAATGTTAAATGTGTGCGAGTCCAATGTAATTCAGTGTAATCGTTCGTACCAGAGTTCAGATTTCTATGTTTCACTAATGTGTTCTTACAACAATGTCCTTTTGTCTATCACCGTCCAGTCATTTTATATGGTTTTTGTCCGTCCATTTGGGTCCCTTGACGGGGGTGCGATTTGGGTGGGAGGCCAAACTCCCAATCAAGTTAGGGCCTTGGTCGACGCCCGACGCCAACCGCTCACCCTTAACACGTTCCGTGCCGCGTGGGTCGCATACACCCCACTCTGGTCTTTCCGTTCAGGCCATCTGATATTTCGGCCTTTTCCTTCCGCTAACTTAAACTATGCAACTACGGCGATAATTTGTTAAAACAAAAATTTTTCCTTTGCTCTATAGCATATCTTAAACGTTACCTTTTTCTCGATAACAATGATTTTTGCAATCTTATAAATATTGGAAGACATATAGGGCGAAAAGCAAAACTGTTAGTCTCGACAATGTAGGACGCATACGACCCACGTGGCGTGAACGGAAAATCACCGAAAATCGGTCCGGCACGGAACGTGTTAAAGAAGGGGTGTTCTGGGTGAGGTACGCGTCACCTGAACTTCTGGGACAAACCCAGGGTAACGGTACCGCTCGCTCGCTCGCATGTGCCTCAGCTCGCGTGGGTTTATGATACGTCAATTACTATTGAGATGCACGAAGAAAACTCGAAATTCTCCGCTTTTATGAGAGGTTTGGAGCCCTCCTGACAATAAGGAATAACTAACGAACGAAAACATTAAACGCGTATTCAAACCTTAATCTCAAAAATAGCAGAGTCGCGTCCGTATCGTAAACCTGGTCTAAACTTAAGTATCCTTAACAAACAGTAAGACTGGTACATGAATAAAGGAGATTTGAAAAAAAAAAAAAGAGTTTACTACTAATTCTTTTCTTGACATCTTCTTTAGTTTTAGTTCTATTAAGGACACTTTAACATAAAGTTTATGACACGGGCGAAAAAGTCCGCTGTTCTTAAGATCGAATATTACCATGAAGCATGTTATTAATTTTACAACGAAGCAATTCAAGAGAAAAAGGACACGAACGCTAAAAATACTAAAAAAGGAGAAAGGACTGCTAGAAAAACATGAACTTCGAAGTATTAAACAAAAAAAATAAATAAATTAAGCAACATCCTTATCAAGAGAATCTTGTTTTTATATTTTTTCTATTTTTGTTTACCTCTACATATCCATACAGGCACCCGAATCGTGCAACGTATGAATAATGGCACATAATTCATTTTATCCCTGATTACCTCATCTTGACCCCATACAAGAAAGATTAGTGTTTAAGGAACAAAGGTTTATTTGAGTTTTTAATGCCCGTGATCTCAAATCTGTTGCTCAAATTTAAAGATGAACGTATGTTAATTCTAGAAACGTTTTAATACATGTCACACGCTTCTCCTTAGCGTTCCCGTCTTACCCCGCATTTCCCTATACAGGGTGGCTCAGCTAAATGGGACCACCTAAATGAAAAAACTTCTCAGGAAAAAGTTAACTATTTCAGGGGGCACGTGTGATCATGGAAACAGTTTTTTCTCAATGTTATTTTGCTACGAGATTTCAAAGTCATCGTTATTTTTTTAAATGGAACCCTATATTTTTTCCGAAATCCCTGTGGAGAGTGAAAAAACAAATTCAACAACCTCAATAACCATACCATCCCCTTCGTTCAATTTCGAAATATTTGCGTTCGAAGATAATTAAAATTTCCTAAAGATTTACTCAAGAACATCGAGTCATACGTTCGTATTCGAAGGTGAACATTACATGATGGTTTCCAACCACATTATTCGACGTGTACAAGGACCGTGTTAAACAGGAGGTTTAGAGGATGTTGGATCGGACGACGAGGAACTGTGGAGTGGCCAGCTCGTTTTCCTGACCTTACCCGACTAGATTTTCATCTGTCGGGTAAACTAAAAAGTATGGTTTATCGTGAGAAACCAACAAGATAATATGAAGGAGAGAATTGCTGTTGCATGAGCATCCATAACATCGCAGGAAATAGAAGAAACGTATGAAGAATTGATCAAAAGATTCTAAGATTCTATACATTAACATCACTTACATATATTTTTACACTACTCAAACGTACATATCGTAAATTTCAGTTAAAGCATAAATTCATTACACTAAATACTAGTTACTAAAGCTTGAATATCGAATATCGTTTAAACGCCGCGCCGTCATTAAAAAGCTATCTACACCCAAAAGAACGTATCATTAGTTTCAGCATTTCAAGTTATAACACTTTGCAAAAGTTTATTATTATTGGTGCATCACTTGAAGTTTTCTCCTAGTGAATAGCGGACAGTAAAAAGAAATGGAC